TATAGAATAAATAACTCAAATGGCTGTCTTTTTGCTAGGTTGAAAAGCCGATAATATGTTTTCCAGGAAATGTTATAGATAATAAATTATCGGCTCAAATACTTTAAATACGTTTTCAAAAAAGAATGCTTTTATTTTTATTACATTTTGTGTTATTTGGAATATATATATATTAATGTTTGTCAGTCCAGAAGCTTTTTCGGACATTGGAATAATCATCGTCTAATACAGAATAAATCAGTAGAATGTGTGAAAATATTCAAATACTTAACAATATGCTACAAAAGGAGAAAAAAACGCTTTTAAATATATAACTGTACCGTTTAAGCTTTGATGTCATATATCATCATTATATTTCTTTACTAAGCGTCCCCCTAAGATTGAATCGCTTAGTAATCGAAATATGTCAACGGAATATCGCCACATTTTTCTACCTCATTACATGTTACATCTCGGTTTATTAGCGATTAAATTTTTGGTGCCACTATAACAAGGAAGTACCCATTTTTGTATATCGAAGTGACATGTCGTTTAGAAACTTCACCTACGTAGCTATCCTTGAATTTTTTATGCATAGGAGATACAAATATAGATGCCTGCCGTGAAGTAATTTTATTCAAATAATGTATTTATCGTTTTGAATTCTGTGATGAAGTGAGCCTTTCTATGAAATAAACCAAAATAAATATAAAACAACATTTATAATTTTGAATCATATTAGAGATATATAACTGATAGATTATCTAAGTTATTTTTATGAAAAAATAAGATGGATTCCACAGGATTGATTTTGTTGTTGCGTAGTAAATATTCATACCGTAGATGATGTAATACTTTATATGAATTTTAGAAAATTGTATTTTTTTATAATTTTTATTTAATTATATAGTCAGATTTAGAACACATAACCTTTCTTCACCTGTGAAGCATATACAGAATACTTTCATTAATATGAACGTATTGTTCAAATTTGTTTGAAAACTTGAAAGGGGAACACTAAGTTTATAAGCGAGCTATCTGTCTAAGGTACAGCTGTACCTTAGACGTTATATCCCGTTCTACTCATAAAATCCGAGACGCATTAAAAATATATATCGTCAAGTAAAACTGCAAATTGAATTGTGCGTATAAGTACAATTATATAAATTCGTTTTAGTTAATGATTGTTTCTCTGCAGATTTAAAATTAAATAAAACATATCTAAATGCAACATAGATAATATTATATAACGAAATATATATTTTTAAATATTAGATATTATTAAAAAAATTCTGATTTTTTTCTTGTCTAGAAAAAGAATGGTTAATGTTTTTATGAATTTTCTTTCAATACCTGAAATGTAATTATAAATAAAACCACTACAGCAGAATATTCATAACACAAATTAGTTAATTCCCTTGAAATTGTTTTTCAATTTTATCAGCCTCATGTTCGACAGTAGTTTAATTTTTACACGTCATTAGGAAGAGTATCTTTTGAAGATGTGCGTTTATAGATATATTTTTATGTTTGTCATTATCAATATTTTTAATATCTGAACTTTAAAATTTTAAGAATATTTTGGTTTCATTATAATGTTCTTATAATTAACTTTAATTTGCAAATATATCTTAGACTTCATAATCAATATTACTGGTTTAACATTTTGACGATATTTCTTTTTCATAAATATTTAAAAAAATAAAATTTTTCCTTTAACCGAGTAAAATTAATTTAGAAAGATATTTATTATTTATACATCTAAATTATTAACACTCGCAAAAGAATTTGGATTAAAATTTTCTCCTCAAAGTACGGTGAAACCTTTCTGAGACAACCACTCATGATTTTAAATAATCATGCTTTCTTTGAAGGTGGTGGCTTCAGATAATATAATAATTGTTCATTCTCAGTACTGTTGTTCCTTTTTATCTGTAAATACTGGTCACTTTCGAAAAAATTTATCTCTTAAACGTGAGTGGAAGGAGAGGTTTCATTGTATTTAAAATACATAAATGTAAGAAATTAAAGACCGACTGCAGGAAAAGAGTCTTAACTGATTTTATAAATTTAATGAATAACTGAATATGCCTTTTCTGAAAAAGTAAACGTAATACTGTATAAAATGTGCACTTAAAATAGAACATATTTTTAAAATTAGATTATTTATTTATCTTTATTAAATTTAAAATTTTTATTTATATTTAATAAATGCTGAATCACTAATATCTTAACTCTTCAAAAACGTTTATCAAAAATTCTGTGTATTAAATTACATAATTTCATTGGTTTAAAAAATAGATTAGATCACAAAAATTTTAAAATAAGCATTTAATTAATCTTTACTAAATACCTAACTGAGTAGTTCAACAATTTAACTGTTTTCAACATAGTAAGCAACATTTCAGGCTACGTTAAATTCTTCACATATTATATACAAAAGCCACTATTTGAAGTTACTTCACTTCGTTAAGTACCTATAATAATTAAAATTATATTTCATATTTTATTTTATTACAGAAGCATTCAACTGATTCAAGTTTTATGAATTTGTCAAATCATCGTATTTAGATTTCTGAAAATTTTTAAACTTTTTGCATGATAAATGAAACATTTATTGCCCTCGTTTTTTCAGTTACTAGAACCTAGAACAAAATGAATAAAATATTTTTCAAGAATGTTCTTGAAATCAAAATGAACTGTTTTTATTTCGAAAATATGTTTACGATTTTAAACATCTCTGAGACAAAAGTTAAATTATGTGAGGAATAAAATGTCTTTAATACATTCTTAAATGTATTAAACTGCAAAACTGAAAATGTTAAAATTAAAATTAAAAATTCAAAAGATTTAATCTGAATTATGTTTTAAAAAAACTGAAGATTATGTATTATTTCCAAGCGTGCTTCAAGAATACGTATAACATAAAATATTACAAAATCAAAATTAGTCTACCTTTTTTAGAATGCATATGAATTCATTTAAAGAATTAGCTAAGTTCATTACTTCAAAGTAAATATTTTAGTTTTGCATTACGGAAAAAGGACGAGCTATCTTGATTTGATGAATTTTCTTCTATGTTGTTAGCATATATGCTATATAGTGCATATGCAGACAGATAAATAGATTTTAAAATATTGGATGACATATTCATGTGTATGAATTCGATTTTCTTAGAAAGTTTCTTAGAAAATAATTTTACATCTTTAAATTATATTCACAATCATTCAGAAATCAGATTTAGGGCATAATAAACAAATGACAATTTTTTAATTAAAATGAAGGTTTTAAGTATTTGTAACGAGAATGATTATTGCTCTTACAGGTAGAGGTTTCCAAACGCTTTCTTTTTGTGATGCATTTAATATATCAAAATTTCTCCATGGTTCAAAAATTAGAAAGTAATCTCTTTAAAAAAATTCAGCACACAGCTGATGTTGCTAAGTTCATGAAATTAAACAAGTTGGAACACGTATTTCAAATTAAGAAACAATTTATACAAAATATGCTAAATAAGAAAGTATTTTGAAAAGTCCTTTGAATCCCAATTAGAGAAAGAGATTGTCAGCCTTTTTTTTATAAGATATAGTAGGAAGTTGGGAATCAAATTAGAAATAGTCACCTCACTTCATTTCCATGTTGACTTTTTTCATGATGTTTAATTTTATTACAGGCAAAATCTGAGTTTTGTACAAACATAATGCTGCAAGTAGCTTGTTCATCATTTAATGATATCCAAAAGTGAATTCGTTCTCTGCTTTCATACCTTATTTTCTATGTAATGTTGCTCAGTAACATTTACTCCTACAGAAATAAGTTCAAATAGAGATTGGGCTCTGAAAATGTTTTGAATCCATCTGAAAGTATCGACATTATCTCCTTGAATATAGTTTTCAAACCAAATCATATATTGATAGGTGCATTTCAAAAGAAGTTTTCCCTACGGTGATTAAGAGCATTCTTCCTGTCACAGCACTAATATATCGATGATCCCATTTCAAAATCATATAGGCATTTCTTTTAAAATATTATACAAAGGAGCTAGTGCTATGAACGTATTAGAATATTTGCAATCCATCCATAAACCATTCTGCGTCGAGACACAAAGTTTGGGAACCACGGCTTTCTGGAATTCATCAGAGATTTATATCTATGAAAATATTATTTTAGACGCTGCTTTCTTTTCTATGAATTTAAACCACGTGTTTGTCAGTTTGAATTCAATGATTTATACTTCCACTTGTGGAACACGTTATTTCAAATTAAGAGACAATTTATACAAAATGTGCTAAATAAGAAAGTATTTTGAAAAGTATTTTTAATAAAATATAATGTCTCTAGTATAATGAAATATGGTAATAAATATAAAAAATCTAAAATTATTTTATTTGTTGCGCACATCCGTTCTGTAAGTATTAGAACAGGATTTTGTTAAACTATATGAATTACATTAGGTTGGTGAGCTTTAAAATGAGTCAAATTTTGATATATATCAAAAAGAAACTAACCGTCATAAAGCAAGATACAATTTAGAAATATGTATTTTAAAAAAGAGGACGTGTTAATAGTTACAAAGAAGCTCAGACTTGCATGTTTCATTATCACCTGTATGTTCAGCATTTATATGTTACCCAAATGATGGGTTTAGTAATTTTTTGCACACTAAATTAATTTCTTGAAACAATAATAATCTAAGTGGCAAATCGAACAATTTGCCAGAAAATCTAAGAATTTAAAATTTAAATTTTTTTTCGAAAGTCGCAAATTAAAATTTTTACGAAAATTAAAAATAAATAAGAATTAAAACACTGAATCTAATATTATTATACAGTTGCTTAGAATTAAATTATTTTTATTGATCCTCTAAATATACTTGATTGCACTGCATTATTTTACTAAATCGCAGTAGCCTGAAATGTTGATTCACACTAATCTGAAGATTTTGTTCCATATTTTTCCTAACAAATTGCGCTGCTTTTCATATAGATGTTATGTCTTATCTCTTCTGTTATATAACGTAGGAGTGGGTCGATGTGAACCTCAGGTGGAACGCCTCAGAGTTCGGAGGCTTACAAGATTTAAGAATACCTCCACACAAAATCTGGAAACCAGACGTCCTAATGTACAATAGGTAAGTCATATTTTAAATTTATATTCTCTTTCCTTTTCAGGTGTAAATCAGTTTATGTTCTACAAGTAGTCAGAATTATTCCTATTCAACACTCATTTCAAAGGGAAAAAACAGGATAAAATTCACAATCTAATTTACATATGAGATTAGCATATATGGATAATGAAAAAAAGATAATTACTAAGGATTCTACAATTACCAAACAATTTTAAATAGCGTAATTAGGAATTAAAATACTTTAAAAGTGATATAAATTTGAATAGAATACTTTCAGAATTACATCTGTATAACAGTTTCAGATACGAGTTCTTCATATAGAATATCATTTGAGCTGTTTTGATCTTAATCCATACAAGATATTAGTTAATAAAATACTGAAAAGTCGAAAAATTAGACAATTGTTTTTTGTTAACGGAATTATTGCAATGTACTGAACCAATTCACGTGACGTTAGTTTTTAACATTTTGAAATAGCAACCAGAAGATCCGAAGTTCAAATTACGGCCACGACACAGTAGATTTTTTAAACGTTTCCTGGCAATCCCTAAAATACATTAATATCTTTTACAATTATACAGATTAATGGAATAATAACTGTCAAATCGAAATAGTCCTTCCTACTTAACTTAGCATTAATCTATGAATGAACAACATAAAAATAAATCTTCATTGATATGTTGGATGTAAATGCAAGTAAAAATTCATAGTAATTTCCTAAAAGAAAATGCGAAGTACTTAAATATCTTATAGATAATTATAAATATTGCTTTTTGCAACATTTCTTCACATATATAATTCACATATATTAAGACATACATTGTAACTAAACTTTAGAAACATTTTAATTACAATATTTTGTTTATGATGAGCCCACCTACCCATTGGCACTGAACCTACACACCTAAATCTACCTAGTATGGATGAGAGGTAAATGCAATCTTAAAATATTCCAAGGCGTTTTAAGAAGACTTTTTAGTGAAGTTTCACGTAGTATAATTATTTGATTTGGTTTATTTAATTATGGCAAAGCACACTAGGGCTATCTGCCTAAGGGAAGGGATGACTTCGTGGAGGACGTTCTAAGGGAAACTGGCTCGTATACACGTTACACATAGGGGAAAACCATGAAAACGCCCATGCAGCCAGCCCGTTCGCGGGATTCGGACCGAACTACCAGTGTTCAGCGTCTTTACCGTTCGGTCGCTGGTGGGCTCCCCTTAATTTTAACTTAGTTACGTACTAACGCAACCACTTAGGCGCAGTTTAGCGATTCTTTACAGATGAAAGAGTAAAATTTACGTACCAGGTGCAAGTTGCAAGTTTTAGCGACTTTTTTAAAGAACATGCTGATACTCATCTGAAAAACGTAATCAACATATTTTAAAAATTTAAAATACAAATTTTAATTGTTAAATTAGGATTACGTGATGCATTAAAAAATAAAACACTTGCATTCGTTCGCACATCTTTCTGTGATTTTTTTTTTTTTTTTTTTTGCGATATTCTGTTCCTCGAGTAGACAGGGATCTGTTTTCACTTAAAAATATCAAAGAAGTTCAGACTCAGCATCCCGTAAACCTCGGTCGAATAAACCGGCTATCTATGAAATGTATCTCCTCGTTGTTTCTTTTAAAGATATTGCGGCTAGATTCGGCATTCTTGCAGAAATTTTACCAGTTTCTTCCGTTGCTGGCGAATTCCCCAATCGCATATTTTAGAATGAAGTTTAACGCAAATAACATGACGGTTTTTTTATAAAAACCGGCGGAACTTGGAATACAACGGACGCATCCAAAAATGGTGACGTTGCTTGACCGAAGGACTATTAACAGAATAATTGGCTGAAAAATGGTTATGCACGGTTTGCAGAGTTTGGCACATTCTGAAAATTTGACGACATCGTTTAGGTGGTTGCGATAACACATAAGTAGCTATAAATTTTATTTTGAAAGTTGTATTTTATATAAAATATCATTTGTAACTAACTTTTTGTTTTGGTTTCCGACAATATTCCTTTTTTGATGATATTTGGCACCATGTTTTTTATCCCTATTTTGTTTCTGTTTCCTTTCTTAACTTAAGCTGGAATGAGGATTTTTGAAATTTAACTTGCCTTTTACATTTAAGTTTTGAATTATTTTCGTTTTACATAGCTCAGAGAATTTTGTCTTTCCTGTAATTTTTCTGATTCTGATTTCTGTAACTTTGGTTTTTTGATCATATACTTGCAGCTAGTATATTCTACCACTGGTATTCCAAGTACCAAAATTTTTAATTTAAAAAAAGAAAAGTTCAAAAATTTTACTTCTTATTTTTCTTTTTCTTTTTCGGATTATTTCGTATATAATGTTTTATTATTATGTTTATTATTATGTTTTATTATTATTTATTATGTTGGAACAGATAATATTTTGATGACTGTCTTATAAAATTCCTTAAATTAAAAAAAAAATACTTTGAACTTTGTATTAACCTATTTTCATCTAATTATTTTAATTTAAAAAAAATAATTTCTTTGATTATTTACTTTAGAAATTTATCCAGATATAAGTCAGAAACTTGACTCTATTAATAATTCTTTCGGCTGCTGCTTGAAGAACTTTCTATTATACACACACACACACACATGTATATGTTTATGCTATTATAATACTATATAAATAGAAATAAAATCAGATCAAAACTTCGTCATTCTTAGCCAAGCTTTCTAAAACTGTTCAAGACTGTGCGCGTAGATTATGCCAGTTCTCTTGTATTTTCATCTAAAATGTTACATCAACAGTAAAGGAAAGTGTTCACTGGCCACAATGACTGCGGCCATCTTTATGCGTCAAAGAACCGTAATATAGCAAAATTTTATCTCAGTATGTTATATATATGCATATATTTCCCCAAAACTGAGAACATACATTTTGTAGATCTTGAATCTGAAAGTACTTCGATCCATTATTGAACTCAGAACCGAACTCTAGACCAGAGGCTCTCAATCGGTGGTACGCGTAACACTGGTGGTCGCAAGAGAAAAATAGGTGGTACGCAAAGATGCATTTTTAACTATTAAATTCAAAAATTAAAACTCATATCCTGATTGAGTTATTTATCTAATACTCACAAATTTATGCAATCTGAGCTTTGTTCAAGAGTGGTGGTGGTAGTAGTACACTGTAATGGTGGTACTAGAGGTTTTAAATTTTGGTTTAAATGGTACGAGTTAGTCAAAAGGTTGAGAACCGCTGCTCTAGACTATAATGTGAACTTAAAGAATTGATTCGAGGCTTCCTGTGTTCTCTGTTCTGTAGCATCACCAAGAAGCAGGGTAGAATAATACAGGAATACGGACGTTTTCTGGGGGAAAAAAAAAACTTATAGAATCACCATACACTTACGAGACGTTACGTCTGAAGCACCCAAACGTGTCATAAAATTTAGAAGAAACTGTAGAATATAGTCAGTTTGTCTACAAAAACCGACGCCGAGGTCTGGTAGGCAGCATGTCATGTTCTAGTAGATATATTACCTATAACTGCCACAGTTAGCTCCGTAGAACTTCCAGTAATTGCAAAACGAAAATGTAATTAACTATCTAAGTGTGTCGTTAGAATTCAGAAATCGGAATAAAGCAAAATACTAAAGCTAAATGCAAATAAACTTACAATAAAACAAAATGCAAGAGAAATAACAAATTAAAATAAATATAAAATAGTAAAAGAGATAAATGAACAGTAAGTAAAATTTTAACAACACAGAGAAGATTAAACATAAATACACAATGAAATGCATGCAAATATCTACACTGGTGTGCAAAACTTAAGCAACATGTGTTCTTTTTGCCATAACTCCATCAAATATCATCTGAGAGACATAAAATTCAGAAATGAGAGAGAGCATTTTGTATTTAAACGATGACAAAAGCATAGTTGCGCAAAAATGAATAGGATGCATACAGTATGGAATCAAACAAGAAAGGCTTTATTGAACCCATAGTATCATTACACATGTTTGTACAACAGGAAGAACAACAAGCAAATGTTGCTTAGTATGGGATATGACCCGCCCTTACTGTAATGGTTGCTTCGCTCCGTCTCTCCATTCTTAGTACCTGATTGTCCAACCGGTCTTGAGGTAAGAGAGCCCATTCCTCAATCAGCATCTGTTTCTGCAGTTGGGCGTTCCCCGGAGGATGTAATCGTGCCGCAAGGCGTCTCCCCAAACCATTCCACACGTGTTGTACGGTATTTAAATCAGGGAAGTCCGCTGGCGAACCATTCGAGTGATATCTCCACTTCCCACTAACTTCTGAACAGCCAACAGCCATCAGGAGTCCCTTGTGGCTGTGCATTGTCATCAATAAAAAAAAGTCTGCTCCAATGACACCTCGGAACAGACGTACATGGTGAAAGATCACCTGAGAACAGCGATCTCCGGTTACAGAACATCTGTCGAAACCGTGGAGCTCTGTCCGCCCGTTCAGCATAATGCCTCCCCAGAGGAGAACTCCAAGTCACCGTAATGGTCTCTTTCCGTGATGTTATTGAGATGAAACCGTGTCCCGACATTTCTCCAAATCAACTGGCGTTGAGAGTCACTTATGGCTCTAAAACGACTCTCATCCTTAAAGAGGACACGACTCTATTGATGAGATGTCCAGGTTTTGTGCTCCTTGCACCACTCTAAACGGTGGCGCCGATGGCCAACTTTAAACGCGATGCTGCATTCAAGACGCTGGGTGAATAGGACACCTTTGTGAAGGCGTCTGGACACAGTAAACCACGACACTTGTCGCCCCGTTGCTGTATACAGTTGCTGAGCTATGGCTCTTTGCTGACTGGCTTCGGGCTCTTTTCGCCTGCAGGGCGATATATCGATCATCCGCTGCTGTCGTTTTCCTGCGGCGGCCACCAACAACCTTACTAACAGCTGTACCTATGGTTTGGACGGCTTTCCAAGCGCGAAATGACACTTTTAATGACTCGGAACTCTTCAGCTACATCGGTCACACT